AGCTTCCAACTCTGTACTTTAAGTATTTCTCAGTCTTAGCTGCTCATTAGAAACACCTGACATTTTTATTTATTTTTTATTTTTTTATTTTTGAGTTGGACTCTTCCCTTTGTTGCCCAGGCTGGAGTGCAGTGTCACACTCATGGCCACTGCCGTCTCGACCTGCTGGGCTCAGGCGATCCTTCCGCCTCAGCCTTTCAAGTAGCTAGAACTACAGGCACACACCTGCACACCCGGCTGATTTTTAAATTTATTGTAGAGAGAACGTCTCGCCAAGTTGCGTGGGCTGGTCTTGAATCTGAAAACTCAGGCAATCGTGTCGCCTCTGCTTCCCCAAGTGCTGGGATGACAGGCATGAGCCACAGGCGCCCGGCCAGAAACACGTGACATTTCTAAACCTTAGGCAGCTCCCAACAGCATCCCAGACTCGTGAAATCAGAATGTCTAGGATGAGAGCCAAGCGTCAGTTTTTCTAAATTGCCCAGGTGATTCCCATATGCAAGCAAGGATGAGACCTAGTGCTCTCACTAATTATGTCATTTCTTACCAGTTTAAAATTCAAAAAGGTAGACAGTTTGGGCAAGTTCATTAGCTAACTTTTATAGCTTTATACAAATGTAAGTGGAACACTATCAGCTTTCTCTAGAAGATCATATTCTTAAAATTCATGATCCATTAAGAATAAAGGTATCATAAATGTTTACAACAGTGTGTGATTTCTGGAAAATCAGGCACAGAACTAAAATAGGCTTTCTGTCCAATCAATCACTTAAATATTAATGTGATCTCTTGGAGAATAGGGCAGAAGATGCACTTTGGTTCTGGACCTGATTTCACAGAAGTCACACTGGACTTCATGAATGAAGCTGATAATTTGGTAGAGGGAGCAGAGACGGTAGCAAACTTTACTACAGGGTCACAAATTGGCCGTAAATGAGTTTCCCTTGGAGAAGAAATAGATCGTGAAACACTGATAATTAGAAATTTGAAATTCATCTCTGTACCATTTTTTTCAAGGATTTATTGTATTTTGCCAAAGTGTAGAAAAGTAGCGGTTCCAAATAAGAGTCCATTAGTTATGCTCATATTTCTCGCAAACGTGAGACAAAAGGATGGTGGAGTGAACATTACTATAGCTAACTACACAGTAACTCTGCTTTTCAAAACCACAAGCAGCCACCCAAGAGCATGGAATTATGGAAGAGTTCATTGCTGGTAGAATCCGGACCTCCGACTTGAATCACGCCCCTTCTTCTGCCAGCACCCATGAGACGGTAACTGCACAGATCCAGTAGCATGGGCTAGCATCCAAGTGGCAGGCCAGGTGTCGGAGACACTTCCCCACGGCCCTGTCCATGCGCGTCCAGAACCCGAGTGGTGAGAGGTCGGCGCAAACAAGCGTCCGCTTGGGAGGCGAGTCTTGTTAGCATACGATCGCAGTGGGCTGCTCAGGCAGGGTCCCCCACTCCCAGCCGCCTCATCCCCTAACGCCCGTGTCAGCAGTAAGGATACAGACCCTTGGGGAGAATGGAAACATTGGGCTCTACCTGCTGCGCCGAGGGGGCAGCCGCGAGAAAGGCAAGAGCCGCTAAGCCCTCTCCCCTGCCTGGGACAACTTCGGAAGGGAGAGACGCAGCGTTGCAGCCCGAGGGAGTGAGGCTGGCTCAGGGTAGCCCAAAGTGGCGAGGTCGCAAGGCGGCGCTGTAGTCACGCGAAGGGGGACGGAGCAGGCCCCTAGGCCGGGGCGCCGCCCAGGACGCCGCGGGTGCAGGGAGAGGCACGGGACGACTGAGGCCGGGGGAGCGCTCACCACCCAGGTGCCATCCCACTGGCTGGTAAGTCGGAAGCTCCGAGTGCGGAGTTACCACGTCCGCGCCAGCGGGGTCCCGAAACCCCGAACACACTCCAGGTCGCTTCTCGGGACCATGCGCAGGGACAGCGCTCTTCCCAAGGAAACACTTGACCCACCACCACCAAAAAGGAAGCCCAGGCGGCACTAGACTCCAACTGGAGAAAACACGTGTCTCAACAGGCCTCATTATCAAGTGAAACTCGTTCACTGAAGGGTACAGCTGCCGGTTCTGCTACCACCTCGGTTTTGCATGAAGTAGGTAGCAGCTGATCTTTTGAGGAAAACCTTAACTCCCACTTCACCGCCGGAAGCAAAGCTGCTGGCACAATGGTACTTCCACTCCGACGGTCGCCTAAATGCCTGAACTGCTTCACTGATGGTTCAGCTAAACTGAAATTCAAGACGTGCACCGGTACCGGTTCAACCTCCATGCCAGTTTGGCACAATCCTAAATGGCTGTGGGGGCCCACATAGTGGGCAGAACTCAAGGCCACTCTCATGGCAGCAGGACGAAGCCCACCTACAATACGTTTTTTTCCAGTCAGTCTCACTCTGTCACTCAGGCTGCAGGGCAGCAGCACACTCATGGTCACTGCAACCTCAGCCTGAGAGGCTCAGGCAATTCTTCCGCCTCACCCTTCCAAGTAGCTGGAACTACAGGTGTGTGTCACCATGCCCATCTAACTTTTTGATTTATCGTACAGATGAGGTCTCACCATGTTGCTCAGGCTGGTCTTAAGCCTGAGAGCTTGGGCAATCCTCTCACCTCGGCCTCTCCAAGTGCTGGAATTATACGTGTGACCCACCTACCTGGCCCCAACGTACAATCTTGACCTCACCCATGCCCCTCACATCCTAGAAGCAACTACCTGGGAACAAACTTCAAGAAGGACCTACAGATGTTATTTCAGACACTCAAGATAGAGTTTAAGGCTGGGGTATTATCTTCTACAATCTACTCAAGGAAGTTTAGAAAAATATGCTAATCTCTGCTGTCCTCACCAATAATCACAGAAAAAACAGATGGACCAAAAGACAACCCCCAGGCCCCTGGAAAGGCATGGGGCAGCCACTTCCCCAAATGCAGCCCAAAGGGGCAGAGCACTTCAGTTAGCGTTTGCTGTCACCAGTGGGCAAGTCACACAAGGAGACCAGATATCAGTAGAAGCAGAATATTGGGAACTAGGAAGCAGCTCACTCACTGTCGTAATAAAATATCACAAGCGGGGGGGGGGGGCCTATAAAATTGAAAGACTTAAGAAACATCCATCCAAATGGGTGACCTTGTAGGGATTTTGATTCAAACAAACTAAATACAAAACACTTGAGACAAGGAAATTTTGAACACTAACCAGATAGCGGATATTAAAGAACTATTGTTAACTTTTTATATAATCAGGTATTATACTGATGATTTTGAAGAATCCTTACCTTTTAGAGATACACACTGAAATGTCATAAAATGATGTTTGGGCATTTGCTTCATAATGACTGATAAAAACCAGCATAACAATACCTTGGTGATTGTTGTAGCTGGGTAACGGGCACATGTTTGAATGTCCATAATAAAGAGTGAAAAAAGTAAAGTTCTTATAAAAAATATGCAGCAAAGAGGCTCATACCATTATGATTTTGAGGTGGCTCATACATAATTGCAAGCAAAATAACTTACGGTGCCTTAAATGTAAGAACAGGAAAAAATACAAATAGGTAACTTTTCTAAAGTTCCACACATCCCACTGGTAGTTACAGTTTTCAAATTCAATACCTCATTCTCAAGACAGGTTAACATTTTGAATGTATAGCTTAGAAACATATATTTTGCAAGGGATCACCTCCAAGTTTAATTAATTCGGAGTAAAACCAACCTTTCAGAGGGAGTTTTCTGTGTATCAAGTCATTATTCATATATTCAACAAACACCTTGAGGATAATGGTAAGGACAGAAGCCCTCTGGAAGTTGACATTCTTTTTTTTTTTAATTTTTTTTCTTTTGATTTATTGTAGAGATGAGGTCTCGCCAAGTTGCCCAGGCGGGTCTCGAACCCGCAGGCTCAGGCAATCCACTCACCTCAGCTTCCCAAAGCACAGGATTACAGGCTGAGCCACTGAACCCAGCTGCTGACTTTCTAACTGGGTTTGCAGACATGGTAACATGCCATATAGCAAGATGTGATAAGATTATTTAGGTGTGTGTGTGTGCGTGTGTGTGCATAAACTTTTAAGAAATAATTACTGTAATTGTGGTCATTGTGAAACAGCAGATTATGCTCGAGGGAAATAATTTATTTCTCATGTGCTATCACTAGCTTCCTCTATTCTGAATGTCTGGAAAGTTACTCCATTAAAATTCTGCTTTAAATATGGTATTTCACACCAATTAGATTTTTTTTTTTTTTTTTTTGAGTTGGAGTCTCACTCAGTCACCCAGACTGGAGTGCAGTGGCCGCTCCCAGCCACCGCAGCCTTGATCTGCTGGGCTCTGGCGATCCTTCTGCCTCAGACTTCCAAGTAGCTGGAACTACAGGCACGCGCTACCACGCCCAGTTGATTTTTGATTTATTGTAGCAATGAGGTCTCGCCAAGTTGCCCGGGTGGGTCTCGAACCCGTGGGCTCAGGCAATCCACTCACCTCAGCCTCCCAAAGGCATGGGATTACAGGCTTAGCCACCAAGCCCAGCTTAGATTTTTAAAAAAATAAAATTGCCACAGAGGAGCTAATGCTACCCCTAATGTTTTGACAAGAGTGAAGAATACTTCATATTTCAAACCTTAAAACCTTTTCTGTGAAATAAAAATCCAAGAGGTTCTTCTCTCTCCCACCAAAATACTTGTTTCACCATAAATAAACCCTTTGGAAACAGCCACGAGATGTATTATCCTGTTTTGGTGGAAAACATTCCTGCCCCTATATGATCTGCTAAGTCCAGCGACATATTTCTCATGGTTGGTTTCCCTAAAGACCTTCCCACCAAATACAATACCTTCAGCACAGCATATACTTTTCGCAGAAGTTCATTCCATATTCTGATTTTTCAATTATACTGATTATGCTGCCATTTTTGTTCAGATAATTATAGCAGGTCTAAAGAGCTCTTTCTGTAATCTAAAACCAACTCTCAAAAAAGTAGACACCAAGATACCAAAATCTTTCATGCTTAAAGGCAAATGTATTCAGTTCCTTTCCATGCAGCACATAATAAGGTACCTATGTGCTTCTTTCTTTTCCAAATCAACGGTTTCGGACAACCTTCGAGGAAGAACTCATCCTCCACAGGAAGCCATCTTGCAACATGTTCTGTTAAGTACCTTATGGAGGGGGAAAAGGAACATTCTTGCTGACCTACAGACTGACCAAATTGGGAGTGTGCTGGGAGGAGAGCTAATGCCTATTGTCTCTTCCACCGCCATCAAGCTCACGGTAGGGTCATATTAACTTGACCAACAGATGCCTACAGAAGCCATTTAGATTTGCCATGGCAGGGAAGAAGGCATGGGATAAGAGAAAAGAGGAGAGACTCGATGTCCTATGATGGAGTGTAGAGGCTGCTGGCTGGGAAAAAAACAGCAACAATGGAAGTCATCCTCCTTAAGACGCCATGCCAAGCAGAAAGCCTCCGAAAAATCCCCCAGTCACTAGAACATTCTTCTTCACAAACAACACCATCTGGGAACAGAAGAAAGCAAAATGAGTTTTTTTGCTAAGGATGTTAATATTAGGAATCATCTCTATTACCCTTAGGTCAATCTTAATAATGTCAATCCCCTCACCTGTTAAGTAGTTTATACTTTACCCAAAGGGTAATGGCAGCCATGAATGAACATGTGAAAATGACCACTGGCTGCTGTGGTGAGAATAAGACTGCAGGGAGCTTGATAGCAGGCCAGGAGGTGACAGACAATGGTTCTTTGAATGTGGGACAGGGAAGGACAGAGTTCATGGGGACAGTTATGTGGAAAGTATAAAGCAAAACTGGAAACAATTCTGATTCCAATTTTGCTCCTTCCATCCTCTTGGCATCTGCCACCTTCCATTCCCTGAAGTGTCTTTCCCAAATCTCTTCCTCCATCTATCCATCCACCTGTTTGTCTGCCCGCCCATCCATCCATCCATCCATCCATCTGTCCATCCATCCATCCATCCATCCATCCATCTATCCATCCGTCCATCCATCCCCCTCTGAAAACTTCTCTCAAGTAGATGCTATGAATTATTATTCTTACACCTCACCACATCCAAGGATGATTAACAGGTGAAGTCTTTGTTTTCTTAAATTCCCAAAGCTTCCCACCTCCCCTCTAACCCCTGTGAAAGCTCTTGGTCATCTGAGGCTCCTTTGTCTGTGCTCTATCAGTCTCCTGACCACTTCCCGTCCTTCCCGTTTAGGAGAGAACTCTGGTAAGCGGTGCAGACTTTTTTCCTCTCCCAAGTGAAATCACCACCTTAAAAAGTATTCATATAAACAACACATCTAACATTCTGGCCTAATCATTTCTTGAACTCCAGTGCAGTGAGTTCACCTTCCAACTACATAAGCTACTCACACCCCGAGATGCTGCTAGCATTTGTCACTTTCCCACTCTATCCTCCTTAAATCACGGTCTCCTGCCCCTCCCATGTCTCCTCGCTCCCACTGTATGTCTTCCTGCCTCATTTCTAGTCTTCTTCCTAACTCTCCTGGACCGCCACATTTCCCCAAATGAAGCGCTTACCCTCGGTCATCAGGGGAAAGAAAAAAAGTCATGTAACTTTCTAAAATGATTGTTTTCACTTATTAATTTTACTTTCTAACACTGAGCTTATCATCTTCATCCTGTTTCCTAAATCAGGCCACAGCTCTATGAGTGGGGAAACCAGCCCCCAAGGCCTGTAACAGTGCCAGGTCAGGAACAGAACTATTTGTGGAATGAACCAATTCCAAATCATCTGGTTAGTTTATAGCAAGCTCCTTCTGTGAAGTAAGTGACACATACTACACACTTGTGAAGGTACTATTTTTGCTATTGTCTTTTAAGATACAAAGAAGACCAGCCTGGGCGACATAAGAAGACCTCATCTCTATAAAAAAATTTTTAAAAGCCGGGCTCGGTGGCTTAACCTGTAATCCCACGCCTTTGGGAGGCTGAGGTGAGTGGATTGCCTGAGCC